ATAATGTTCAGTAAGATCCAGAAAGGACTCAGCTCTTCCAAAGGTTAGACCTAGTTTTCATGTGGCCCAGAAATTTGACTCATAGGATTGCAGCCCAAAGAATTCAAAACATATCCACACAAAAACTTATACATGAATGTTCACAGCAGCATCATAGTAGCCAAAGCATGGAAACAACCCTAATGTCTATGGACTGATGAATAGATAAATAAATGGCGGTCCATCCGCACACTGTGGTGTATAGCGCAAAGAAATAAAATGCTAATACATGCTACAGTGCGAATGAACCTCAGAAACATTCATTATGTGAAAGTAGCCAGACACAAAACCTCACATTATAAATGATGCCATGCCTGAGGCATCACACGAACGGTAAATCTGTAGAATCAGGAAGTAGATGAGTGGACTGGGTGTGGGGGCACGTAGCTGTGATCCCAGCACTCTGGGAGGCTGAGGCAAGAGGATCTAAAGTCCAAACCCAGGCTGAGCAACTTATAGATTTAGTGCATCTCAAAATAAAAACGGGCTGAGGATGTGGTTCACTGGGAAGGCCCTGGGTTCAATCCCCAGGGAGAAAGAGAGAAATGATCCTTACACAGACTTACAAGTATGCCAAGTACCCCTAAATTGTACATTGCTAAAGGATGAAAGTGATGGTATGCAAACTATGTCTCAGTTAAAAATAAGTAAATATTAAGAGTTGCACCATTAAAAAAATAAAAAGAGGGTATAGTTCAGGGGTAGTCATGTGCTTAGCGTACATGAGGCCGTAAATTCAATCCTCAGCGCCAAAATAAATAAAATAAAAGAGCGTGTCTTTTGAGAACAGGAGGGTAGAAAGAAACTTCATGAGGAACTAAAGCCCAGTCTGGGCCCTGAAGAAAAGAGAAGATCAGGGCACAGCCAGCAGAGAAGGGTGGGCAGAGTGACCGCAGACCGCGCTCCTTGCGCTGGGCTCTTGAGCAGAGGGCAGGCAGGGACCTGCTGGTCTGTAGCAGCAGTGGTCTGGGGAGGGGAGCGGGTGGGCTTAGCACAGAGGACGGAATTGATGAGTGGGAGCAGTGGCCCTTCTGCGGCACTCAGGAGCTGGAGCCGCCCCAGGCGGGCGGGCTGCAGAATGGTGACGCATACTAAGCAATGCTCTGCAAAGGTGAGTTTCTCTGCTGCAGTTCCAGATGAATTGATGGGAGAAAGAAAGTACCAAAGCCAGGGGTTAAGCCTCTGCAGTGGCTCAGCCCTGAGCTACTGGTTGCAGCCTACAGGGGAAAGACAATCAGACATCTCCTCCTGACCTTAGGAGACGCAAGCTTCAACCTGGCATTTCTCTAGCAGTTTGCAGCGAGCATGGCTTTCCCTCGATTGGTTCATTCAGATTGATCTCTGAAATCATTCTTTCCAAGAAAACCAGTTGTCATTAACTATCCCCTTTTACAGAGGCACAGAAACTGACTTGCAGAGTCCAGCTGGGGTCCCTTTCAGAGCTGTCCCCGGCAAGTAATGAGCTAGAGACCTCCCCCTGTCTCCAAGACCTGCGTTCGGGTTCTCCAGGCACCGCCTGCCTATCTCTCCCCTTCCGCTACTTTGGAGGATTTTAGATCAAAGGCAGAGCCGTCCTCCTGGGGGATAATCCCGTTGCTGGTAACCTTGTTTCCTGAGTGTCCTTCACAAAGAAGGGCTTCCGGCAGAAACTTTCTTCCTCAGCCCGGTCACACAATTTTCTTTTCTCGTTACTTCCCATCAGCCCTTGGGACGGGCTGGTGCTGAAGCACTTTTGGAAGCATTTCTATGCAGGCGAGCTGCCCAGAACCATTAGCTGGTCCTCAGAAAGTGTTATGAGCTGCCGCTTCCACATCCTCATCTCCTTTTCTGCCTCATCCCTTCTTCAACACCATCTCCTCTCTCCTTCCTGGGAGCTGGCATCTGTTTACATCTGCCCACTCCTCCAAGAAGCCCATCTCTGCACCATGGAAATTTTCTTCCTCCCGCTAAGAACTTAAGCCTCACACCTAATCAGCAGGTTCAGAATGAACCACAAAGTAGTCTAAACCAGCCAAGGGACACACAAGTCCGGTCAGTCCAGAAGAATTAAAGATAAAAGACAGGCGATGGCAGAAATACCCAACGAGTCGTGCAGAGGGTGGGAGAGCTTTCCTGCCTGGTGCAAGTTTTAGAGATCCCCTCGCAAAGCCCTGGGGCCTCGTCTCTAAGGGAAAGCTTTGCTTGCCATTGAAAACAGGGCCAGCTTCGTACTACTTCTGGTTATTTCTACGGAGCCAGTAAATGGCAAGAAGAGGAGGGACTGGAGATTGAACATTGTACATTCTCCAAATCATGTGGACCTACCTTGACCTTTTCTTTTGCCAGACTGCTTTAATAGCTGAATTTAAAGAACCATTTTCCTCATCATCCTAACACCCCCACACACATACAATGTGATTTTAAAAAATACAATGAATGTTTAAATTTTTAAAAGTTTATTATAGTAAAAGGTGCATTGCCATTCATCTCCTTCCAAATAACCCCCCTTTTTGAGCACATTTGTCCCATTGTTCTTGTCACTTTCGGAAGCAGTTCTGACGTCCTCTTTCCTGAATGTCTTTAATTGTACAGTAAGTTCCTGACCTATGAATGAGTTCCATCCAGGAAGAACTGTTTGTAAGTCTGATGCATTCGCCAACAAAGCGAGTCTTACCCAGTACACCTGTGGAAGTTCGCAACTTGAATGTTCCTAAGTCGGGGACCTACTGTACCATCCTGGCTGCCTCAATGTCCTGAATCAATTCAAAACGTTTGCTTTTCACGGTCATTTTGACTTTGGGGAGAGGTGAGAGTTGCAGAGTGCCAGGTCCCGTGAATGAGGTGGATGAGGACACAGCAAAATGATTTTATGAGCCTGCCTTTCTGTTGGATGGTACCGGCCACCAGCATTCATCACATTTTGATCATACCTTGTAAAGACGCTCACAACATAGGACTTCCAGAACTGCTGGGGAAAGTGGTGTGAATACTGGGATCAGTAAGTTTGAAGCGGGGAGGTGTTGAGGGAGATTCCTGGCATCTTTTACTGTAATTGATTATTTTAACATTTTCAGTATGTTTCAATCACATCACACACACACACACATGCACGCACACACACACACACGCACGCACACACACACACACACACATACACTTCTCTCTTGTCTCCTGCAACTCAAACTGCACCCAGGCTTACTGAATCAAAAGCTCTGGAAACTGCCTAATTCCCTGGAGGGCTTATTAAAACAGATTCAGGGCCTCCATCCCAGAGATCATCCTCAGTAATTCTGCAGTGAGAAATCCATGTGTGCCAAACTTCAGCTGGTGCTGGTGCTGCTTGTCCAGCAAGGAGCTTGGGTATAAACTGCTTCCAAGCCACCTGCCTCCAGGGCACATATACACAGGCTAGGCCCTGAACAGTGACAGCGAACCTTTGAGAGCTTTCAGTGATACAAACAGCCCCCATGCGGCACGCGTGCCAGAGGTTCACCGGGGGAAGCAGAGAGGAAACAAATTCTGACCTAGGAGTCCAGCTTCTGAGAGGCAAGGCCTGGAAGAGAGACCTTCAGCACCAGCTCTCTTCCTTGCTATTTCCCTTGCCCTGTTTCTGGCCCTGTTACTAATCCACTTGTGAACGCCTCTTGATGAAGACCTGGGGATGATTTCTCATGAGCCTTATAAAAATGATAATGTTACTGAGATTCCATCTTACCACAGGAGGTATGGCCATCATCAAGAAATCAAATAGTAACAAATGCTGGTGAGGCTATAGGGGAAAGGGAACCCTTCTACATTGTTGGTGGGAATGTAAACTAGTACAGCACCTGAAACTAGAAATTCCATTTGACCCAGCTGTTCCCCTTCTTGGTATCTTCCTCCAAGAGTTAAATAGATCATATCTATGTATACCCATGTTTAGAGCAGCATAATTCACAATAGCTAAATCTTGGAAGCAGCCTATGTGTCCATCAGCAGATCAATGGATAAAGAAAGTGTGGTATTTACAGCGGAGTAACACTCTGCCATAAAGAAGGATAAATGAATTTTTTGTAGGAAAATGGATGAACCTTGAGAGTATATAATGTTAAGTGAAATAAGTCAGACCCATAAGCCTAAGTATCTCCTGGTTTCTTGTATGAGAAACCCAGTGTAAAAATAAAGAGCAAACTAAAAATAAGGGGAAATAGGGAGAGAGATCTTTGTCAGAGGGGAAGAGGATGAAGAGATGGAGGGACAGGGGATGAGCGAAAGGACCTGGTATGTTTTAGGTATGCATAGCAACTCCATACAAGGACTGCAAACTTACGTACTACACACGTGTACACTCATGAACTAAAATAACATTTAAAAATCATAACCAATTTAAAAATCATAACCAATTTAAAAATGATGGTGCTAGAGCTAGTGTCATAGAAAGATGGAGAAGGAAAGGTCAAGATCAGACAGTGGGGCCACTGCACCTGAAGCAGTGCCCATGCCTAAGAGGGTTTGGGGCTCCCTGTCTTCACCCAGGTCCTCTGAGCAGCCCATACGGTCACCACTGTCAGACTTCAGTGGGATCCCAGCTTAGATTCTGCCTTGTTCATAAGTTCCTGGTGCTGGGGCAGCTGCTGGCCCAGGGACCCAGCTCTAGAGGCATTGTGTGTGTATCTAAAATGTCAGATGTCAGCCAGGAGTGGTGGTGCTTGCCTGTAATCCCAGCACTCTGGGAGAATGAGGCAGGAGGATTGAAAGTTCAAGTTCAGCCTGGAGTACTACTTTGCCATAAAGAAGGATAAATGAATTTTTTGTAGGAAAATGAACCTCGAGCATGGATATAAGCAGTCACTTAACAACTGAGTGAGATGTTGTTTCAAAATAAAAAGGTCTGAGGATGTAGCTCAGTGTGAAGCCATGTCTCACTGTGTCCCTTTCTCTCTTCTCTCTCCTCTGGCCGCTCCCTCTACGTGTCCTTGTCCTCTGCCCTACCCCGCCCTCAGTGCATTCCCAGAAGCAGAACAGACAGACCTGTGTCCGCAAGAGCCTCATATGCGCCTTCGCCATGGCCTTCATCATAAGCGTGATGCTGATCGCAGCCAATCAGATCCTGCGGAGTGGCATGGAGTAGCCGCCGCCTCCCGCCGGCCGCGCTGTTGCCAGCTCACCGCGCATGTGCATGGCCCGCGGGCGACTGTCCCTCCTCGCAGCAGATCTGGACTAGGGACAGATGCAGACCTGCTACAGTTCAGCAAAGAACCCAAAGTTGCAGTGCAGCCGGGATTGCGCGATTCAACTTCATCTCCTTGGCAGGGACACCAAAGGGCTGTCTTCAACGCTTTAATGGTTTTGTTTCCTAATGCAATAAATAGCCAGGAGTTCTGAATTTTTGCTTCATCTGCCAGTAGTAACTTTGAAGAACTTCATTTTCATCTCAGAATTCCAGTGGCCATCCAGGGATAACGGTGGAATCAGCGAGCGTGCAGAAGAGAGGTGTGAACGACATTCACCTCCATCCACGCGCCATTCTTCAACCCAGGGGTCCACAGAGACTCCTCGCTGAGGTCGACCCTCAGATCCTAGAGGCTGGCTTCCGGGTTGCGACAGAAGAGAGGACTGTCCATCTCACCCTGGCTTCCTTCCTCCACCCACTGGAGGACCCTCTTCCCCCAGGCATGAGGGGAAAGCCATTAAGCGGGGTGCAGCCCCTGGCTGTCTGCAGCTGCACCCCATCGCTTCCGTTCTTACTGCCTTTTCTACAGGATTCTTGTTGGTAGAGTCGGGGCGCTCTCGGTTGGTTCCTGTGGCACTTGGCTTTTTGTTCCTGGAGCCCATCCCGCACCAGCATTTTGGGAATCTGCAAAGAGCCTCCCTCTCCGCTTTGCCCCCTGTGCTGCCATTCGAGACAAAAGAACCTTGGGCATCTTATAACAGAGGCACATAGACAAAGAGACCTGGCTTCTCCACGTGTGACATTTTCTTTAACCGCTCCCTCTGGATAAAAGCTTGTCCTTCCTCCCACGTTCATCCCTGCTTCTTCGGGGCAGAGGATGAGGCAGACTGGGAGAGGGGAGAGGACTGAGACTTGAGGTGAGGAGGTGTTGGCAGCCCACACCCCAGGCATCCAGAGTCCGGGAGCCCCCCAGCAATCCATGCTAGACCTCTGTAAGTTAAGGTTCATGTGCATCCCACCCTTCTCTCCTCCTATAGATCGCTTTGTGAGTTAGTCTTCCCCAGCTCAAAAAAGAAACACACTCCCAAGCAGAAAGATGGAAAGATCAAACTACTCTCTTTTATATATCCTCTGGCATTCAGATTCTGCAACTGACTCATAAGAAAAAGAAGAAAAAAAAGATGTTAATGAGTTTAGCCAACCTGATGGGTCATTTACCTGCAGAACGCTTCTGTTGGGGGAGGGAACTCAATCCAGTGGTCTGTTTTCAAACCATACCAAGTCTCTCATTTCCTGACTTTTCCTAGATACCTTATCAGCCACCTCTATTAATTCCAGCTAGCATAGTCAGATTAGCCAGTAATCTCTAGATGTGCTATTCCCCTTTGTACTTTTCTGAGCTCAGGTCTTTATTTCTGTAATGGAATGATCTTGCTCCCATTTCTTTCGATTGTATCCTGAAGCTACAGGATTCCTTAACCTTTCCATTCTGTCAGCGTTGAGGCGACAGAATCTTTCCTCTCTCAATGCAATGGGTAGGTTTTATGGTGCAGTGTGTGATTCCCACCCTGTCCTCAAATCCTCCTTCCCTCTGTGCTTCTCCCTTCCTGCTTTCTTAGATGCAGAGCACTGAGGTCTGCACTTAGGGTCTTCTTCCAATTCACCTCTCCAAGCCATCCCCACAGCTCAGCGTGGGGGCAGCTGTAGAAACTTTCCCAGCATGGGAAAGTGCAAATATTCACGATGAGCACAAGTTAAACTAGGGTTTGAGCCATAGTGTGGAAAGGGAGCAGATCTAAGTTCCCAAGAGTCCAGGGGGCAGAGAATTTCTCTAAAAGCCACCTGAAGTCTAGGGTATCCAGGCCAGGCCAAGGAAGGCAGCAGCTTGCCTTTGCCCTTTACCTGCCCTGCCCTGCACACCTGCCCTTTCTGTCTTTCCTTCGGCCACATCTCCATAGTGCCCTTAGGATCAGAATCTTAACCTAGAACAGATGCTAAATACTCACCTATTAGATGACTTCCTCTGTAGTTTCTTCCCAGGGCAGTTTGTCCCCTCCCTGCTGGATGTAGGGGAGGACACAGCACATCCTGCAGGAAAATGCTTCCCTACCTATTGCTGACCCTTGACCCTCTAAACCACATGCTCCTGGGGACAAGGGGGGGAGATCCTGAGTAGACTGTATAGACGCCCAGGGACAAGTCCTACAGGGCCCCTCGCCCCGACAGGGACTGAGACTGCCTATCAGGGCAGAAAATAAGTATTTCAAAGCCTTCTTTTTGCAAGTCCCTCTGCCTCCCACTGGAGTTGTTGACCCCCAAGGGTACTGCCAGAGTGTGAGTAGATTTCTTCAGCAGTGAGATGAGCCGCTGTGCAGGGGTGGGGATTAAGAGAAGAATTCTGGAAGGGCACCAACAGCCTGTTCCCTACCAAGACATGAGCATCCTTTCCCTTAAAAGGATCCCTTCCTATCTCCCAGTGACCCGGAAAATCAGGCGGGGAGCAGATCCATGAGAACACATCCCATCGCGGGGGATGTTTCTAGGGAGACAGAGCACGGTGGAAGCCGTGGCGTTCTCTCTGGTGGCCTAGAAGTTAGCCTCCCACCGTGGTAACCTCACATGAGGCACCCAGGGGCTGAAACAAACAGCGCGAGGAGACAGCCTAAGCTGTAGACGGTCCAGATTTTCAGGGCTGAGTTTGCCACTGCGACTCATACCCTAGCTGCTGTGCCTGCTTCCAAGATGTAGCTGTCCTAGACGTAGCTAGGGAGTCAGGCAGCCCCAGCTCCAGCCCTGTTCACACAAATGCCATGCTTGGTCTCCCCACAAATCAGCATCCTTGTCACAGTGAATATGAGGTTCAGAGATCAAGGTTGCGGAAGATCCTGGTCCCGCATGCCCAAGGAAGACCACAAGGCTACAGCTGGAGGTGACCTCCGCTGGAAGTGGGAGAGACCCAGCCTTCACTGTCCTGCCAGTGACCAGACTTTGGAGTCAGTCACTAGGGCTGGCAGCCAGCAGGTGCTGAGGGATTGGCACAGCAAGCTGGGCTCATTTTTCTTGCAAAAGCAGGTGTTCCCCTCCCCCTTCCCGCAGACCACACCAGTGATGATCAGGAAGATGTTGTATTTGGGAGAAAAAGAGAAACATACCCTGGTTCTCTTAAACCCTAAAAAAAAAGTCTGTCTCCTGCCAGTCCAGATGCAGACAGAGCCCCCATGCAAGACCCAGCATCAAAAGTATTAGCAGTGGCTTCCAGAATGTGTGTGAGTCCCATGTGACCCATCTGTAAGAAGAAGGAGGAAAAAAGATATCACCATGGCAACCATTGCATTCCACCCCGAGTTTGCCAAGGCACACAAAAATAGGGAACATTTTCCTAAAGAACACTTGGGTTCTGCCTGATTACAGCCTGACTTCCTGCATCCATACCCTGCCGGGAGGGGAAATCATCCTCCAAGATTCTGGGTGGCTTCTCTGGCCTTTCCTCTTGTGTTAGAACTTGTCCTTTCATTTCCCCAGGAGAAAAAGTTACCTGTAAGCCTGGTAGCAGTCTCCCTCTCCTGGCCCTCCACCTCACCTCCCAGAGCAAGAATCCCCAAATCTAAGCAAAAAGGCCAGAAAAAAAAAAAAGTCATCTGTAAGGCAAAAAATATTTTAAGCTTCCAATCTTTAAAAGCATCTGTTTGCCTGTTGAGAAGACAGAAATGTGAGCTTAAGTGAACTGAGGTTTCCTTGTGGTCTTAGGCGAGCGCAGGGGTTGCAGAAGTTTCTTCCTAGGTGTTTTATTGGCAGGGAGCAAGATGTGCGTTTGGAGTCTTCTGTCTCCATATCTGCTCCTGTCTCAGATTTCACATGACAAATGCTCCCCTTTCTTGCAGATATCCAAAAGAACCTAATGAAAGATGGGCAGCTCATTTTGACAAGAACACTCCACCCCATCCCTCAGCCACTGGATGAGAAAATGAGAGACCTAAGTGATGGATCTAAGATCTATCTACTAGGCCTAAGTCCAGACTCAGGTCATAAATCAAAGAGAGTTTTGCACATTGTTCTTAACCGGAAGCTAGCAGCTCTGGGTAGGGGGACAATAGGAAGGCACAGCGAGAAGAAGAGGAGTGCAGCACTTCCTGAGTGGGGCTGGGCTGGCCTCAGGGGCTGAACACCTAGAATCCCTGTCTGCTGTGTCCTTGGTCACTATCCTTGCAGCAGCTGCTGAGCTTGGCTCCTCCCTCAATGCCTCAAACCATATTGGGTCATTTTATTGCACTGACTATTGCTCCCAAGGCCCACAATAGTTATATTATTTTACCCTGCAAGAAGCGGTCCTTTTTTTATATAATGCCATGATGGTACAGATGAACTGAGATTAAGCTTTGAGACTTTGGCACACACTGGTCCTGTTGCTAGGAGGATCGCAGGAGGATGTTCCCTGGAGAACATCTGTCTGAAACGACCTTTCTCATTGGCCATGAGATGAGATGTCTTCAGTGATGTCCATGAGGCCAAGAGTCTGAGCTCTAAAGGCCTTGCTGTAGCTGTCCTCCCTCACGGCTGGCTGCCCAACTCCCCCGAAGGGAAAGATCTATCAGAAATAGACAAGAGGCATTATTCAGCAGCTAAGGTTTTCAATTTGAATAATTTATAGTGATGGTCAAATAAAGGAGGATTTGGGCTGCCTCTTACGGACCCTGCCTTCGTGATAATTTAAATGTCAGAACTGTTCAGCTCCACTTTGCTTTGATGTAGTCATTCAGGGGACTGTCCTCAGCGATGGGGCCTTGCCAGAGACAGTTGGTTTGGAAGAATAAGGTCAAGTGTACCAACCAGCTAAGGATTCCTCTTAGCATCCTATGCTTATTACAGATGCACATTTTAAGAGTGATGGTTTGCACCTAATATTGGTTTGGGATTCACTTCATGTGACCTCAAGGGATATAAGCTACTGCTCAAAAAGTCTTCAAGACAAAATTAATTTGGTTCTGTTGGCTTGAAATGTCCCAAGAAGAATCAGGTTTTTCCAGTCCCACAAAGACATTTCTCTACACCTGGGCAAAGCTTAGCCAGTTACCCCTACCTTGGGTGGTTCAACAGTGGGGCACCCCATGAACCCCCACATGCTGTCCAAAGTCTCATCCAACTCTGGTGAGATGGATTGGCTCTCGGATTAGTGTTCCTCACATTGTCAGAAGTTAGTGTCCAAGAGAAAACCAGTGAGAGGGTGGAATTTTCCAATGGGGTAGCAGAGCAGCTAATCAGGAAGGAATATTCCGGGGAATGCAAAATTCAGCTATGATATTGCCCCATTCCTGGACCTGAGAGAGAAAAAGAAAGTTGTAAGAGGTCACAGGTGCTGGCCTTGGAGTATTTGCCCTGTGTATCTGGCCTACTTTGGGGGCATACAGGGGGTCGAGTGCCACGGGGCTGCCCACCAACCAGCTGCCAGTGACACGCTCTGCGAATTTCAAGAGGAGGCTGATGGCTCCCCTTTCCTGGGAAGATACTGACACCTGCCAGGTCCAGAAAGGCTTTTCCAGATCTATACAATCTGCTGAATGTTGGCTAGGAAAGCAGAGCAGATAAACTGAATTGTAGTTGGTGCTGTCACCTAGGAAGAGCCCAGGCACTGGGATCCTTCCACCAAAGTGCTGGGCCCTGTGGAGTGGCTTCTCTCCGTGGCCTCAGATTTCTCATCTCTGAAGCCAGAGGAAAGGTAAACTAGATGCGCTCTCTCATTGTGACATTTGGCTTGGTATACAAGTCAGAGCGAGCCTCCAGTGCTGAGACAGCCTTGATGTCCCCCATGAACTGCAATCCGGGCTGGCAGCGTCTTTTTTCACACAAGTCCCAAGAGGCAGCTGTGATAAAGTATCCCTTTTGGTGTCCATTGTCTGTAAACAAAACACCAACTGGTTTATGTCAAAAGTGTCATGTCACGCAGGCGAGAGGTTTTGTTTATTCCCTGAGGACTTGCTGATTCAAGGCAGCATCAGAAATGGGCTTTGTGTCCTCTTCGTGGCCCCCACAGGTCCTGCGCATACAAATTCATGAGTAAGTGGAAGGAAACAAAGCCAGGTTCCAAAAAAAGAGGCTTGGTTTCCCCATCCGAGATGCGTGACTGGAAGCTACTGAGTAAAGAGCACAATTTCCAGTCATTTCTTTGTTTCTTTTTTTTTCTTTCTGGTCACCAGAACAGCACTTCCAGTAGATGTGATAGAGGTTTGTAATTATCTGTAGCACTGGAGAGGGAAGAAATTCATGATCCCTGGTGACTGTCAGGAATTAGACTCACAGCTGCTGTGCTGGTCCCTTAGGTGGCTGATCAGTGGTGCTGAGCACAGGTCCCTGTTTTAGCTGTGGTCCAGCCGTGGACAGGGACGGACAGTAGGCATGAGCAGCTGGGGGACCCGCAAGACAGTGTCTCTAACCCCAGTGCCCAACATCAATATCAAACCCTAAGTCCCTCTTCCTAAATTAGGCCGAGGTCCCAGTTGTCTGTATAGCAAATCCTGCTCTTCTTCCCTGGAAAGACTAGACTGATCCAGGTAGGGATCCTCTGAGCTCCTGCTGGAAATTCACACAAGTTATGTCTCCCGACTTTCCCCAAGGAAAGTCAAGGAAAATTTTTTCTTCTCTGAGTATAAGATTTTAAGGGTCCTTGGGTGGCTTCTTAGCGGGAATTGATTTTCTTTCCCAATTCTGAATTCAGGAAGAAGCTGTTACTCCAAGGACTAACGAGAGAGTGACCTTGGAGGGAGCTGAGACTCAGAAGTCTGGTCAGGGAGGTGTTGGCAAGCTGTCCTGTCTTGAGGGGAATGGGGTGGAGGGTCACTGTGGGCGCAGAGGTCATTGGACCGGAGATGAGAGTGGTTTCTCAAAGCACAGTAGTAAACGACTGGGATCCTAGCCACCAACGTGGGGGTGTAAATAGAAGCACAGATCAGGACTAAGACAACCAGGATGGTCAGAGCAAGCTTGGCAGCTCTCCTATCCAGAGAGGGCCTCGAAGACCGAAATCACGGATCACAATCTTCCCATTTACCTCATTCACTTTCCTTTTTTAAAATATTTTAATTCAGTATTTGTTGATGATGTCTGCTATTAAGTGATGAGAGTCAGCAGATTGATGAGTCAAAAAGAAATCTTTATATAAAATGTAAATAGTAATATAAATGAACTTGGCATGCAACTTACGGATCAAATGAAGTATATATTATTAATATGTTATCTTAGTGTATAAAGAAAAACTGACTGCCATATTTACCAGATGTTTTCTCTAACCAAACTTGTCTGTAAATATATAACCTGTATAAAAAAGAGTCTAATTTACCATTATTTATGCAATAGAACAAAAAATAAAAGTTTTTTTCTTTTCTTTTGATGACAGATTCAGTTCATTGTGTGTGGTTTGATTTGCCAGTGGGCCATAGGCTGGCCCCTGTGGCCTCACAGGACAACCAGAGCTGTTCAGTGACAGTTCAGCATCATTGCAGAGCAATGGGTGAGAGGCAGCCACGGAGCCTGTGTGTGGAGGGACTTTGGGGGGGAATGATTGACATAGAAGGAATAAGCCGATCATGGAGCATATGGTGAAAAATAGGCATCATCTTCTGGCTGGGGAGCAGGCATGGTAATTAAGAAAACTTCGCAGACACCCAAGCTAATGGTGTCATCCTTTGGGAGTCCACTTGCTGAATTCTTCCCCACATTAGCATTCAGCCACTGCATAACTTTCACTGAAGCTTTTGGAATTGTTAATGTTATTTGAGCTCCCTGGAGAATGAGAAAGACACCACTCCCTGAGATAGATAAGGAAACCAAAGGCACTGAGAAGGGAAGTGAGCGGGGCACTGCGGTGTGCTCCTGTAATCCCAGCACCCAGGATGAGCACTCAGCCTGGGTCACTTAGCAACTTAGTGAGACCCTGTCTCAAAATGAAAAATAAAAAGAGGACTGGGGATGTAGTTCAGGTACTGAGTTCAGTCCCTGGTACCACCACCAGCAGCAGCAGCAGCAGCAGCAGCAGCAAGAAAATAAATAAATAAATAAAATAAATATGAAATGACTTGATTAAGGTCACTAGCTGAAATCCTGCCTGAATTTGTACCAAGACTTTGGCCTCCTATCTCCCAGGGCCAAGAGAGAGCTCATATTTTCTTCCCTTCTCAAAAATATTTCTTCAATTTTTTTGTTTTAAATGTCATGTCCTTAGCCAAAACTCTGCGTTTCTAATTAGGTAAGCTCTCCTGGAGTTCCTTGCTTTAAATGTTGCGCTTTGTAAGCCTCCTCAGAGGTGAGGTCAGTAAGTATTTGTTATTGTTGAAAAATTCTATAAACAATATTCTGGGCATAAGGCACATCTTCCTTTATGTTTTGTTCTCCATGAAAGGGGCCTCTAGCAAATCCCAGTGAGATAATGACTTAGATTTTATCCTCTATGATCTACATTTTAAGATTTTTAAATTATAACCAAGCACTTAGTCATGAATATTCATTCTCCTGGGCTACTTATCCCAGGAGATTTCTGCACAACAAACAGCTCGCAGAAGACTATACAAAGAATGCCTGTCACTGACCCCTGGCACACAAAGATGGTAACAAGGAAACTTGAACACTTGTAGCTCATAGCTCAACATTATTCCAAACTGAAATTAATATCCAAG